GAGAGGGAGAGAGAGAGAGGGAGAGAGAGAGGGAGAGAGAGAGAGGGAGAGAGAGAGGGAGAGGAGGGGAATCAGAGGGATACAGGGAGAGAAAGAGAGAGGTTAAGTTTTTGCAGGCCAGATAAAAACGTGTTGCGGGCATGGTTGTGCACATACAGACGCTCATCAGACGCCCATCAGACGCCCAACAGAAGCCCACCAGACGCCCATCAGACGCTCATCAGACGCTCATCTGACGCCCATCAGACTCCCAACAGAAGCCCATCAGACGCCCATCAGATGCCCATCAGACGCCCATCAGACGCCCACCAGGCGCCCATCAGACGCCCATCAGCCGCCCATCAGACGCCCATCAGACGCCCATCAGACGCCCATCAGACGCCCATCAGACACCCATCAGACGTCCATCAGACACTCATCAGACGCTTATCAGACACCCATTAGACGCCCATCAGACACTCATCAGACGTCCATCAGACGCCCATCAGACGTCCATGAGACGCCCATAACACGCCCATCAGACACCCAACAGACGCCCATCAGACACCCATCAGACGCCCATCATGCACCCATCAGAAGCCCATCACACGCCCATCAGAAACCCATTTTCAGCGCTTTCTTCTCTACACAATGAAATTAAGACCTGCATTGCTGACATCTGTTACCAATGTACTTTGATGCACTCAGTGACTTCACTGGCGACACAGTTCTTGATCCGTTCCTTTATTAGAAATAATGACGCGATTTTCTTATCCAGTCTCAAGAAGCAATGATGACAGGTGAGAAGTCTCTCTAAATTATAATGTTAATGGAACGCTAAAGAACTTTCATTTGGCTCAGCCAGAAATAGTGGGGGCAGGGGAGAGGACCACAGCCAGATATGGAATGGGGGCAGGGGAGAGGATCATCAGCGAGAAATGGAGTGGGGGCAGGGGAGAGGATCACAGCTAGAAATAGAGTGGGGGCAGGGGAGAGGATCATCAGCCAGAAATGAAGTGGGGGCAGGGGAGAGGACCACAGCCAGATATGGAGTGGGGGCAGGGGAGAGGATCATCAGCCAGAAATGGAGTGGGGGCAGGGGAGAGGACCACAGCCAGAAATGGAGTGGGGTCAGGGGAGAGGACCACAGCCAGATATGGAATGGGGGCAGGGGAGAGGATCATCTGCCAGAAATGGAGTGGGGGCAGGGGAGAGGACCACAGCCAGATATGGAATGGGGGCAGGGGAGAGGATCATCAGCCAGAAATGGAGTGGGGGCAGGGGAGAGGATCATCAGTCAGAAATGGAGTGGGGGCAGGGGAGATCATCACTTAATTTCTCAAAATTGAGTTATGCCTCGCGTGACCAATAATGGAAATGGATGCAGTGGAAAGGTCCCATACCCTGGGGGTCTGTAACGCTTCAGGCGAGCGTTAAATATAATTTCCTGATTTAATTAATCTAGTTTAAACACAAGGATTTTTTTCTATTGAATAGACGTCCACTAAATGGACTAACTACTCTCAAACCCAAAACGACACGAGGGGCTGTTCTAGAACCACATACAATCTTTCTTTTTTTTTTTTTTTTTTTTTTTTTTTTTTGAAGTGAAGTCAGCTCCTTCAAGTGACATGACAAAAAATCTAATAATAGCATCGCTGGATAATAATATGCACGATCTCAGATTGCTGCCTCGGGGTGTGAGGAAACACGCATTTGATTATTTCTTCTATACGGCACTTTGAAAAAATAAGGATATGACATTTGACACACATTTTATTTATTTGCATATTTTATCATTAACTTTAAGAATGAATTACTCTTCAACGGCTTAGCTCCGCAGTCTTTTTGGTTTTCATCGGCGCACAATCTGGGCACTTTCAAGAATGCCGCGGCACAGCAGAAGTAGACACATGCGAAAAAAAAATATCGTAGTTAATAAGTGCTTACGCAGCACATGCCAGTAGAACGTCTATACTAAACGACATACCATAGAAAAATTTCATAATAGCGTGTAATGCTGAAAGACTATATACTCTATTGATCCATATTAATACATTTTAACACATATCTGTTGCCGCAGTGTTTGAAAGCTGGATAATTTCCCCATTGGCATCAACACGGTCTTTTCATATTTACGTGCCTACATTTTCTCAGCTGACCCTCTCTTGGAAGTATTTTGCGCGGCACACCTGGCATCATCTTTTGCGGCACTCTGCTCTGTGGCATAAATTTTAAGAATGAATATTTTTCCCCCCATTGAAGACGGAAAATAGTAGCTTCCATCGGGACTCGAACACTCGCCATCCGCGAGAGCTGCAAGAAACCTAACCCCTACACATGATGATTGTTCGGGCAGATTTGAGTGCGTTGTTTGTGACCTCGTTGTCAATAAAATAAATGGAAACCACAGCATCTAAATTTAGAAAACTTCCCCTTCCCATAATTATTTCAACCAATGAAATGCGTCATTTCGGTATGCATAAAACCTCCGACTATTTACTTGGTTAACCTTCCATTGTCCAATAAACAATGTAAACACTTTTTAACTCTTGCCGCCTGATGAAGTGAAGATAAGTTGAACATTTTTGCACTTGCAACACGTCCGGTGACCAGAATTATTGACCTGTGACAGGTGACCAGGCTTAGTGACTTCTGACAGATGTTAATGCAGGTCAGACTCAGACGGATTCTCTTTTGATTGATGAAATAATTGACGGACTTTGGGAGTGATCTCAGGGTTTCTTGTCTTAAATCACTACATGAATCCACATTAGCTGTTAGACAATTGCCGATGTTGCGTCCAGGCTACAATTTTTAAATGACTTGGTCAGATGAGTATTTGGTACACGTTGCTGAAGCCTGATAATAAAAGATAGTAATTGATGGACTGCATTCAAGTTGTGAAATGAAATATAAGAACAAGGTTTGGTCAACTTGAATTCATTGACAGGACAAAAGGTTGACGTTTCGGCTAAGAGCCTTCATCAGAAAACAAGACAAATTTGAAGTCTGGCTCGTGACTTTGCACTGTTTGCTAAGCCACGTAGATGGACTTCCTGAAACGACCAACAACCAATATTCTAACCGTCCAATCCTGCCCGAATGCGAGCCCAGATGGTGTTGAACTAACACTTGACTGGCTGAACCATATACTTGCTAGTGGTCTTATAATAAACTATAAACTTTTCATTAAGAAATGTCATGGGGTAAAAAGGCGCGTTTATGAGAAAATGTATCATTCTTAAAATCAAAGTTATAGATTTCTGATTTTGGTGCAAACATCATTTCTGATTTCGGTGCAAACATCATTTCTGATTTTGGTGCAAGCGTCGAGAAATTTGATTCTACGCTATCATACATTCATTTATATTTCGGCTGGAAGGCAACGAATGCGTCTGTGTTGCGACATCAATTTTTACATCAGAATGTTGCATAAACACTGAAAATACTAAAGTTCGGGCCTAATATATATATATATATATATATATGACTGTGATTAGATTAGAAGTGTGTGTAGAATTTATTGCCTTCTGGGATAGAAAGGTCATCAGGCTAAGTATGAAAACTTTATTTGACGACCAATCCAACATGTGTCCACCTTAAATCCCTTATCTCCTGAGACAACCACGTGATCGCCGACCGCTTTCCTTATCTTGAACAGTTCAGAAACCAGTTGTCATGTGGAAATCTTTTTTTGCAACTTTTCATTTCTGAATTATTTTCCTGCGGTGTAGACAGGACATTGAGACACTGTTCTGGTAGGCGGGTTTTAACATATATATCTCAGCTGTATTTGTGGATAGCATTGCCTGTAGTTTATAAAATGAAATGTTTATTTTGTTGTTCTTGCTGTTTTCACTTGCTTTCATTGAAACCAATCTGGTTATCCTTTGTATTTGGGTTTCGTTATTTAAAAAAAATGTTTATAAAAGTCTTGTGTAATAATGGTACTCTAAATACTACGTGTAACCAAATGAAGAATTAACGTTCTCGTATAACAAAAGCAGTCGCGGTGTAACGGTTATGTGTTAATACAATTTGAGTCCTGACTTGTTGTGACTTCATCTACCTCAAAATTTACTAAAAATCCCAACATCAAAGAACATATAGACTGTTGCTCCATTTTTAAATCCTTTAAAGTAAGTTAGCTTTAGTACGTGGCTGGCAGGCAGGCAAAAATCTTCGGAGGAGAAATCCACAAGGCCTGTGATTATTCTTTTTAGGATTATAAAATGGTTCCCTACACAGCAAATCGCCGCTCCACGCCGCTGGATCACCATTTGTATGATAGAGCTTGGCAACAGTGGCGACGAAGGAGTTGCCGGAATGGTTCATTGTGCCTACGGGACTCCATCTCCAGATTTGAATTCAGAGAATCCTTCTCTTAGATGAGTTGCCATCCAAGGTTAACGAGTTCCACCCACCCGGGCTTTGGTGGGGTTGAGCTCCAGACCATGAACTTGAGCTTAGCTCAGTTTAGACCACTCGGCCATCCAGCCCCCCTAGTCAACAAACACAGTTATTATAACATATACAAGTCATTAAAAACTGTGTTAGCTGTTGAAAGGCGATGGCCAAAGCGTTTTTATTAAAATTCAAATCTTCCCTTCGTACTACATCAAAATAACATGGAGATTAATCTTCTGGAGAATTGTCACAATCGATGTTTTTAGAGAAACGCGCCATCGGGATCCATGGATTAAATCCATCATTAAATATTATTTTTAATAGATAATGACAGATTTATAGATTTATTGCTTGTAAACAACAACAAAATTGTGTTTATTTGTTCCTCAGATGGCGTGTAACGCTGTCCGTGTGCTAGCAGCTTTCCTATCGCTAACGGCTTACTGTCACGGTTTCACCCTGACGGCGACCCCTGACCATATCGAAATCGACCAAACCCAAAATGTCGTCCTCGAGTGCAAGTTTGGGGGCTCGTCCAACTCGGACCTCGTGGAAATCAACCGTGTCCGGATAGATAAGCACGTGAACGGCGCGTGGACGCTGGTGGCGCAGATCGTCGACGTCAACAATCAGATCAGCTCCGTCCCCAGCGTGACCGCCACCGGACTGATCGGTGCACCCAGGGACACCTACCTGAGGGTCGCGTGGAAGCTGGCCACCGCCGACACCCCGGGCGAATACAGATGTGAGCAGCTGGGGCTCAACGGGGCGCAGAACTTCGTCTCGGAGAGAACGGACGCCATCGTCATCGGAGACAACTCGGCCATCACGGCCACCATCAACCTGCTGGTCAAGAAGCAAACCCTGGCCTTGCAGAACTCCTTCGACCAGTACAAGAAGGAGACCTCCCAGGAGCTGACCGACATCCTAAACATCATCCGGATCAACCAAATTTCAGAGCTGCAGGCGTTCAACAACATTTCTGCTCAGCTGGCGTCCATAGTCCAAAAGCAGAACTCGCTCGATGCAAGGATAACGGCCCTGGAGGGCGGCTCAGTAGTGGCACCCACCTCCGCCCCCGTGACGACATCGGCTCCAGGGGCCACCGCTGCACCGGGGAACCAACAGTGGCCTGGCGGAAGTTACGGTCTGTACCAGCCTCGATCAGGCTGTCCGGCGAACACGTCCGACGCAACCTGGGTCAGCGGCTACCGCAGACACCACACTGAACCGATCAACAACATCGACCACGTCTCTGACGGTGGCAATATGGCGATCCCCATCTTCGAGGAAGTGGGCACCGAGTATTATTTCAACCAAAGATTCTGTATGGTCCCCTCTCCCGCCAACGGACCAGCCTGGCCGAGTGGCTCTTACTGCATCAACCGGAAGGGCGGCTCCTGTCCGGCCGGATTTAACTCCGGGTACATCGAAATCGACGACTACAGCAACTCCCAGGACGTGGTGTCCGGGTCCGTCCCGGACGGGGCGTACGGCACCACGTCCATCATCTACTACTGCTGCCGCAACGACGGAGCCGTCAGTGATCCCATCACGCTGCCGACCGGCTCATCTTTCTACCTGTACAGGTACAGCACGCAGTGTCAGCGCGTGAGCGGTATGCTGGAGCAGCAGGAGTACATCTTCATCGACACGGCGAGCGCCAACAACCTCGACAAATACGAGAACCAGTGGCATCCCTCGGGCAGCTTGAATGACGTCAGAATTGTGCTCTGCTACTACCGCCCCATCTAAACCTCCGACAGGCGGCCTATTTCAGTTGCTATCTCCTTAGACTGCCAGTTTCAGTTGCTATCGCCATAGACTATCAATTTTAGTTGCTATCGCCATAGACTGTCAGTTTTAATTTTTAAAAAACCTCAATAAAGTTCGACATATTAACAATTATTTTCGTTATGTTATATTTTGTAAAAATATATCTTTCTCGTAGTCAGACTTTATGACATATCTACAAGACGCAGTGTTATCACACAGCTCTTCCGTGTACATCATTATGCTATAAACAACATTAGGTGAACATTTGAAACGGGTAGCCTTCGATTAGATATGTACCTACTAACTGCTACGAACCGGGAATTACCAGTTCAATAGCGCCGTTGTCAAGGAGTTACTAATTACTCAACAAACCATTGATCCATAGAACAGACCTCTTTTTATTAATATAAAACTTCAAAATAATCTCAAACTCCATCGCGGCTATCATTCCAGACCATACCAACAACTAACGCGTCACTTCCCCTTACCCCCAAAACGCCATAAAATCCCCGCTTATAGTTACAGTTACACATATACTCTCTACATCAAACCCCGTTTTCAAAACAGACACCCCTTTCCCTAAAACTAGCTCACAACGCTGCCCGCCTCCTTAAAGGTCAAAGCAAAGATCCCATATGAGCCGATTCAACTAAAACCAAAATTGTGAGGTATGTCCACCTTGCCCATACAAAATAACATTCTTTTAACCTGTCCTCACCAAACAACTACCATGATGTTTTGATCCCTACCATATCATAAACTATATCCTAAATCCTTACCGATGTACTAGCTCTATTAATGACCATGTACCGTAATTAACTGGAGCACGCCACCTCCAGAGCTCGGTCAGGGAACGAACGCAGTACTTCGATGACATTGGGAAGAAATCACGAATTTGTTGTTTTGAACTTTGACCTAACCGCTTGGCACTTGTGCGTCCTGTCCACAAGTCTGAGGTACTACGCCGGCACGCTTCAACTTAACTGACTGATGTCCAAGCCACGACCTGGGGGGGGGGGGGGGGGTTAAGCCTCGGCCGAACAAAGTCTTTATTCCAGACGGGGAAAAAAAAAAGAATTTTGAAACGGTTTCTTTTATAATCAGACAAAATAATGAATCTTGAGCATAGGACCTCAATTGGACCTCATTTGGACCTCAATAGCACCTCAATTGGTCCACGATTGGACCTCAATTGGACCTCCATTTGACCTCAATAGGACCTAAATTGGTCCACGATTGGACCTCAATTGGACCTCATTTGGACCTCAATTGGTCCACGATTGGACATCAATTGGACCTCCATTGAACCTCAATAGGACCTCAATTGGTCAACGATTGGACATCAATTGGACCTCAATTGGACCTCAATAGGACCTCAATTGTCCACGATTCGACCTCAATTGGACCTCAAGTGGTCCACGATTGGGCATCAATTGGACCTCAATTGGACCTCAATTGGTCCACGATTGGACCTCAATTGGACCTCAAAAGGATCTCAATAGGACCTCAATTGGACCTCAATTGGACCTCAATTGGACCTCAATTAGACCTCAATTGGACCTCAATTGGACCTAAATTGGTCTACGATTGTTCCACGATTGGTCCACGATTGGACCTCAGAAATTGCTGTGCTATTTACTTTTAAATAACAAGTCGATAACGCGTAGGGATTTTAGTTAATGTCTTCCAGCTTTGAACAACGTTTTGAAAGACACAAAAAAACATTTTTTTAAAAATATTTCACAGATGCATGAGGAGTCCACTTGCAAAACCTTCTAAGTAACTGATTTTGACAAAAGGGACTTTTCAAAATTTAATGTATATATGTAATATAGCATTTATATATATTTTTAATGTGAATTTTAGACTGACATAAAGCTGTTAAATCATGACATACACAAAATGCTGTAGATTGACATCTAATAAACCAGCCAAGATAGATAACTCATTTTGGTTTTTTTAAAGTGACTTGGCAGGTTTTGCAATTGGACTCCTCACATGATATTCAGCTAACAAAAAATAGATAAAAGGTCAAACTCAAACACTTTGTTCGCGGTTACATTGTTGAAGCATCCATCATTATCCTGTTAAGGCACGGCATCCTCAAAGAGAAGTTTAGGATGAATATTAATTAATTGTTTGTGGTCGGGTAAAATACTAGGACAATTATGAATTAATTTTTCAGCAAAGGGTATAAACATTTCTTTCATAAATTTTCGCGTTGGCGTGCAGACAGTTCTAAGCAATTTTGTTTACTACATTATATGAGCAGGTTTGTCTGATATGTTAGATGAGCAGGTTTGTCTAATATGTTAGATGAGTAGATGTGTCTGATATGTTAGATGAGCAGTTTTGTCTAATATGTTAGATGAGCAGATGTGTCTGATATGTTAGATGAGCAGGTTTATCTAATATGTTAGATGAGCAGATTTGTCAAATACGTTAGATGAGCAGATTTGTCTAATATGTTAGATGAGCAGATGTGTCTAATATGTTACTAGCAAAATTGTCTACTTGTACATATTTTTCGTATTTTAAAGAGGGTGTTTGTTCGTTTTGATGATGTTGTTACGTTATTGTTATTGTTTTGAGCCTATAGTACGGCAATACGATTTTAACAAAACAATAAAAAAAATTCAAGTCTTCTCAGGTAAGTAATTTTCTAACAATATAACAGCGTATTAAGATAAGTTCAACTTGTCGTGTTTATGTCATATATTTATGAGGACATATTTTCAGACCTTAAAAGTTTTCTGCAAACGGGGTGTCAGACGGGCCGAAATTCTTAGTATACCCTTTCTCTAAGACACGCCCCATGCAGGTGGGCAGCCAACTATTTATTCCATGTACTCAATTTTACCTTCAAATTACGGCTCTGTGGTTGGGGAGACTTAAACAAACAAAAAATGTAGGTCAAGGCCGGGGTGTCATGGTGCTCACCCTGAAACAAGTCGACGCAACTCTGGGTTTTTCTGGAAAAAAATTTCAACAGAAATCATCCAGTTGTAAGGAAGAAAAAATCAAGCAGGATTGCAAATATTGCTTCCAATTGTTACTGATCGGGACACTGTCGTTCTCATTTTTTTTACGTTTCGTTCTCTCTATGAACCTCGACATTCAGATACACTTCTGCTGCAGAGATGCTGTTGTGTCAGCCGGCGATTCACCAATTCGATAATGAGCATTTTCTTCGAAACACCGTATGTTTTTGTGTTAATCCATTTAGTAATAGAATTTTTGAGTGAAATTTTTCAGAAGGTCTAAACATGTGTTTCTTTCGTTCAATGATTAAACACAACATTTTTTTTAAAAAAGTAATATTGTTTTCATTTGCTCTATTTATTTATTTTTATTATTTCATTTCTTTCGTGAGTTTGTTTTTATTTTATTTGTATTATTTTCTAAGATTTGACCTGTTAAATTTTCATAAATCATTATTTGGCACAAAAAAATCTCTCGAGGAAAGAAATTGCTAACTTAATGCTTACAAGTCTAAATGTATCTTAAGCAGATTGATCAGATGAGCAAGTACAGCAATAAACAGGTGCCGGTACAAAAATGTCACGCTAGCTCGGTCCTGATTCACATACGCCAAACTTAATACGTGTTTTTAAATCATTTATATTAACCTCGCTTGTGTTTGTGGCTGGCTGGCTGGCAAGGCCATTGGACGACTAATTGACCCACTTCCCGTCAATCGATCGTCCTGAAAATTGGCTCAGAGACTTATTACCGATGGCAACACATTCTGTCAAATTTTCAGCCCCAACCCACCCCGAACAATTACCCCAAAAATCAGTCTTTCTTGTTTTTCATTGAGAAGATGAAGGAAATATGATGTCACGAAATAAAATTCCCGATAACTGCGCTAGATTATTAATTTTTTTTTTTTTAAATATCGCAAGTGCGTAATATTTTCTTTTGAACGGAACCTTCACCAACACCAAAAAATATCATCACTAAAACACATCACTAAAAGACACATCACTAAAAGACACATCACTAAAAACACATCACTAAAAGACACATCACTAAAAGACACATCACTAAAAAAACACATCACTAAAAGACACATCACTAAAAGACACATCACTAAAAGACACATCACTAAAAGACACATCACTAAAAGACACATCACTAAAAGACACATCACTAAAAGACACATCACTAAAAGACACATCACTAAATAACACATCACTAAAAGACACATCACTAAAAGACACATCACTAAAAGACACATCACTAAAAGACACATCACTAAAAGACACATCACTAAAAGACACATCACATCATTATTTTTTTGTTGTATCTATTATTCCTTATTTTAATGAAGCACACCCCCCACCCCCCCAAAAAAAAACAACAACAAAAAAAACAATTTTGCAAACAACATACAAGAGTTGACTAATCAGTAGGACAAGCACAGACGACTCTTCTGATCTAAGGGGGCCTAACTTGTCTTTTTTTCAAAAATGACTTTCTTTGCGTCCTTATCTCTAAACTACACGATTCCACAAAATGACAAGTTAAGTAATGCATGTGTCAATACAGTACATCTGTATTGAGGACTTTGTCAAGGGCAATACACGAGCACCGAACTAAGACGTGAGCACTGAATTAAGACATGAGAAAATATGTAGCAATTACATAAGAAACTATAGAGCAAATCTTTATGGAACTTTGGACCAAATACGTAAGAAATTATAGATCAAATACGTAAGGATGTATGTATAAAATACGTAAGGAATTATGGATCAAATACGCAAGAAATTAAGTATAAATACGTAAGTGATATGGATCAAATACGTAACTAACTATTGAATGAATACTTAAGGAATTATGGATCAAATACGCAAGGAACTATGAATCAAATACGTGAGGAACTATGAATCAAATACGTGAGGAACTATGGATCAAATACGTAAAGAACTATGAATCAAATACGCAAGAAATTATGGTTCAAACACGTGAGGAACTATGGATCAAATAAGTAAGGAACTATGGATCAATATGTAATGGATTGTGGATCAAATACGTAAGGAGCTATGGATCAAATAAGTAAGGGAATGTGGATCAAATATGTAAGGAACTATGGATCAAATAATTAAGGGATTATGGATCAAATACGT